CAGACTATAATTTAGAATCTTTAGTTTTTTCTACTTGGCTAATTTGTTTTCAAATCAAACCTAATATACTTACTTCAAAAACAATAGAACCTTCAACCATATCTAGCGTCAGAACTCAAAAGATAAAGGAATTCCTAATTGAGAGAAATAATTGAAAATAAAATAAAATAAATAGTTTATTTTGAATATCAGAGAGAGAGAAGAAAAGTAACCATTCATTATCATGGGAATCAAAATACAATGGGTTCTATTTGGGTTTTGAGGGTTTATATTTTTGAAGGAAGAGAGGTTTGGGTTGCAGGGGAAGGGAGAGACTTAAGTGGGGATAGGCTAATTGAAGAATTTTTTAATTTTAAAGGAAAATATGAAAATACAATTAATGTTTTTTTAAAAATAAAATTACTAATGATTATGAAAGAGAATTTACTAGAATTAATAATTGAAGGGTATTTTAGGAATAATGGTGGGTGGAAAGATAAGTTTGTGTTCTTTCAAATTTACATGGTGGGTGAGAAGACAAGGTGGGTGGAAAAATAGGACAAAGGGGTGGAAATAGCAGCACTCTTTTATGTTAAGAATTGGTTACATACTTCTAATATAGGCCGTTAGATTATATTTATTAAATGTGTTCGTAATCTCTTAGATGGAATCTAACGTCCGAAATTAAAAATATGTAACTAATCTTTAACTTAAATACTTATTGGAGAATATCTCATTATATATTATCGATGGTAACACAAATAAGATATTAACATGTATGTTAAAAAATTGAATATGGTATACAAATTTGGTGTCTTTCATATAACTTTTTAGTGTTAACCTAATAATATGATTTCAAAACACTATAAACATTGATTAATAAAGCACATTTTGTGAGTTCTTTTGCTTGATTGGCTCAACAAGAAAAGGGAAATAAATATTAAAAAAACTGCAACCAATATCCATAAGATAAGCTTAGCTGTTGAGCACTTGTAATTACTGAAGTGAGCTTAACACTCTTGGTATTTGGACGTGAAAAATGAAACACTTGAAAATGAATGCATTTATCATTCAATATTCAATAAATTAAAACACATAAATAATAAATAGAAAACATGCTATCACTATCAGTAAATAATGTGAACATTTTGGGATATTCAACTGGTTCAACTCATTAAAAATAAAATAAAATAAAGGAACTGAACAATAGGCAATTAAATGGTATCTTTAGAGCATTTTCATCCATTTGTCATGGCAAAAGACAATGATTGTTACTATTCACATGAATAGTACTTGCCCTATCAATTTTTGTTGTTGGTTTTCCACCTATTGTCATGGCATTATTGGCCAAAAATAGCAAAACTGTGTTATCTTCGTTACAATAAAGTTTTTCTGCTAGTATGTAACTAGGAAGAGGAGCCAAACATCGTTTTAAGAGCATCCACAATGGGCTTTCTAAATCACCCTCTAAAATAAAGAGACTTCTATGAGCTCCTAAATATGAGGAGAGATAAAGGACTCATAGTGGCTCCCTATAATTTAATACTGCTTTATTTGATGAGTATTTTAAACCTTTAATTAATGTTAATAATTTTTAAATTATTTTTTATTTTATAGAAATTGACCAATTAAAAAAAATTATAGTATTTATGACTTCCTAAACTAAAGAGTATGATTGAAGTTAAAATTTTATAAAGAATTTCTAAAATAATTTTTATATATTTTTAGTTAAATTTTAACTAAAAAACAGAGAATGCTCTAAAATTAATCGTACAAAACATAAGGTAATAGCTCGGAACGCTTCGACCAAAACAAAAACAAAAAAAAACTCGGAACGCTGACCAATTAGATAAGGCAAAGAAATAAAGTTTTCATACGTGGCGTCATCTACACCAATAGCCTAAACCAAAGCGGTCCCGCCTTTGATTTGCATTGCCTACGTGGCACCACTTCACCTGTAATCAGATAACTGCAATCGCTTAGTAGATTTTCACAATCCGGTCGAAGCCCCGCCTTTCCTCCATGGCTGCTGCAGTAACCTCTTCATTAGCTTTGTCACCCTCCACATTCAGAGGAGGCCCTGAGCCCTCGAAACCCAAATTCCTCAAATTTTGCTCAAAACCCGCAAATTTGGCTTTTGCCATTTTACCTTACACTCATCGTCGTCGGCACAAAACGTTGAGGATATTGGCCTCTGTTTCAGTCTCCAACCCCCAAGTGCTGACCGATCCCGAAGAGCTCTCTGCGTCTATTCTTTCCAAGGTATGGCTTTTATCAATCCCATGTTTTAGTTTTTTGGTTTTTCAATTCTGGGTTCGTGATTTGTTGTTTGGTAGCTGAGAAAATGTGATTTTTTACCCATATTAGTTTCACTGTTGTCTTGTCGGAAAATTAATAGGCTTATGTTAATGGATTTAGTACTGTTTGAAGTATTGTATGTGCAGTTTGATTTGTGGTTTATGCCAAGTTTTTTTATTTTATTTTTTTATTTGACTCATGAAATATGACTTATGATCTGAATCAGGTGACACATTCTGATAGAGGAGTTTTGCTGAAAAAGGAAGAACAAGAAGAGGTAGCTGAAGTGGCTGAGAAATTGCAGAGCTTTTGCGTTAGTGAACCAGTGAAATGCCCTCTTATTTTCGGAGGTAAATCCCATTAAGGTGTGGACTTTGTTTCTGGAGATGCATATTACAGCCTAACTTTTGGGCTGAAATATCTTCTTTTCTGGCATTGTGGCCAAAACTCAAAACTCCTAGTTCAAAATTAGTATTGACTTCAAAGTTCAAAGAAGTTAAAAGTTGAAGAACAAGCATCCATATGACATATGATTTTCAACTTTATCCAGGTGTTGAAAACAACAATGACAATTACCACAACTGCATTGGCATTTGTTATTGAAAATTAGCATGAGCAACTGTTTGGCTCTGTGTAACATATATGATAATCTACTCATTCCTATTACATGGTATGCATTTCTTTGTTGTTGTTGTCGGTCATATGATGATTAATCTAGTGCTTTCACAGATTGGGATGTGGTGTACTGTTCAGTGCCGACTTCACCCGGGGGTGGCTACAGAAGTACGATAGGCCGCCTTGTTTTTAAAACGAAGGAGATGATTCAAGTTATTGAAGCTCCTGACATTGTCAAAAACAAAGTCTCCTTCTCTGCTTTTGGGTTCTTGGATGGAGAAGTCTCTTTAACAGGTAGGCTGCTAAGGCTAAGATAATACCGATGTTTGAATTTTTTTCCTCATTATACGCTTTGCTTTGTAGTTTGAACTTTAAACACCATTCTCATTTTCTGGTGTGGTCAGTGATGGTTGGGTTAGTAAGAAAGCTCCTTTTATTGAACATTGCATGAAATCTAATCTGTTGTTGTAAGCTTCTGCTATTCTTTACCTCACATACCTACATTTGACAACAACAAAAATCACATTATCAAGTTTCATATGCTAATCTTTTCATAAGCTTGTTCCCTTTTCTACTTGATTGAGTGTTCTCAACTTCTCATCTCTGCACGCACGAGCAGGAAAGTTGAAGGCTTTAGACGATAAATGGATCCAAGTTATATTTGAGCCACCAGAACTGAAGGTTGGTGCATTGGAGTTCCGATACGGCGGTGAAAGCGAGGTTAAACTTCAGATCACATACATAGATGATAAGGTAAGGTTGGGGAAGGGCTCTAAAGGTTCACTTTTTGTTTTCCAAAGACGTGGTAATTCCACTTGAAATGGTTATTGTGAGACAAGAACCGTTTTCCATGAAAAATGTAACGCTTAATGATGCAAACAAATGTGTGATATCTCAATGCTATTATTGTACATTTGAAGCTACTTTGATACGACTGAACATGTTCGATCAACGGAAAGTTGGGCCTTAGATTTCGAAAGCTACAATCAACATGATCACGAACACACAAAAACATGAAAATTTGCTTGATCTAAAACTAGTGACAGGTGTTGCGGCAGACAAAGGAAAAGTAGACAATCTTCTCTAAAAAAAGGTTTCTTGAGGACCAAACAATCAAAATGCAATTCCAAAATTCCAAATTGACAAAAAAGAAGAAGGGGGATGTTGTCAGCCAGGGCCTACTTTGGGAATGTCATAATGCTCACTAAGATTTGCCAGATAGTGATTAAATTCCTGAACCCGATCGCGATGTGATTTTTTGGCCATCTTGGCAAGCTTTTGCAGTTGAATCCTCTCTGTCTGTTGGAGGTACCGCCTCTCCGCGGGTGTCAGATGATAATCATAAGCCCCAGCCTGTCCTCTGCCACCATCATTCTCAGTATCATCCATCACTGCTTCTCCACCTATCACCCTCCAAAACAAAAAAATTGATTTCTCCATTAGCAAAACAAAAATCACAACCTCCAAACAAAAAAGATCAAAACTTTACCACAAAATTGGAAAAGGGTTCATTCATATTTGTAAATTTTAATCACAACCTACCAATCCCATCTTCAATGGGACCATAAATTCAAAAATCACCGAAAATATATATATATATATATACAAATTCAAATTTCAAGAATATAATATCAGATTACATGCAATGCAACGCAGAAAATAAGAATTTGAGTAGAATTAGAAAAGGAGGGAAGGGCATCAACTAACCTTGTGAGGCTTGAGACAATTGGTGATAATAATTGCTGCGTTTCTTCTTATTTTTCTTTGAAACCCCACCTCCTTTCACGGCCAAGGGTTTTCCTTTCAGCTTCAGCTTCCCAACAACAACTACGTTATCGAAAGCAGACATCTTTACCTATCGGAAGAGATTACGCGAGAGAATGAGAATTGATCGTCGAACCGTTCAATTCTGTGATTATGGCAAATATGTAATATGCAGGGACGTAGGTTCTAGAAACTACTCAAACTCTCTCTCCTCTTCCCCAACGGACATGCACGCACATTGAGTTATGGGCCTGCATCAGTGGCTTATGGGCTTCAATTCAAAATACAAGTCCAACCCAGAGTCTGTCCCCTGCTCTAACCCAACGTCTCACCATTTTAGCAGCATGTTCTCTGAGGCTATCAGCAACCCAGAAATTCTTTTGGGTTTTGTTAGAAGCTTTGCTTCTGCTGTTGAACTTTCGGTGGTTTCGCTCAGGGCCGTGAAAAGCCGTCCCTTAACGCTAATTGCGAGAGAGAGAGAGAGAGAGAGAGAGAGAGAGAGAGCTTAATACCAGTATTTGAGTTATGTTTCTTTGTTGAACTGGGCACTGCCCAATTGGCTCCTTCAAACTTAAGGTTGGTATTTGTTCTTAGGATAATCTGGTTTTTATCAACTCCCCATACTCATACTGTCTCATTGTTAACTTGCTGCAAAGTTTGGTTTGCCATATTATTTGCAAGATTTTGGCAACCAATTATGTAGAACATTTTTGCGTCAAGGCCCATGATTTTATCTTTTCTTTGTCTTCCATCGAACTATAAGCAAGAGTAATTTTGTTCGTTTTATCTATTTTTTCTCCCTTGCCGAACATGAAACGTATGAAACTAGTTCATATCGGAATTTTCTATTGTTCAGAGCTTTTCCTGTGAAATAAGCAAAGAGTAATTATGGCTAATAATCTCACCAAAACCATGTGCCTGCATTTTGTGTATTATGAAATGAGAAGAATGGCAATGCGCACATTTTTCAGTGAGGAATAGGATGTCACCAGAGTAGTTTAAATTTGCCTAAACGTATTCAGTACACAAAGCACACGACATTTTCATATATCACCATTCACATTCGTGTTTTTTTCTTTTTCAGAGTAGTCCAAATTTGGAGCTAGAAGTACCATTTTCTTGTCTTTCTTCCCTTCTAAATGGTTGTCATGCTTAGTGCCCGTCTTCACACCATTAACTATGCTCTTCCTTCAGGTTACTGTTATCTCAAAACCTTAGCAGCCCTATTATATTCTTCATTATCTCATCTCAAGTTTGTCATTTTATGAAATTGATTTCGTTTAAAATTTTCAGGTAGAGATTGTAAGTACACAGGTCAAGCAGTGGTAAACTATCTCCACCTCAATTTAATATCCTTTGTTTTTATAATGTATATATTTCAAATATTCCTTTATTCATACCGAATCAGTGATTGATACTACATCTGCCGTCGTTGGATTTATTACATTGCGGAACAGTCAGTTTTATCTCCGGAACAATAACTATATTTATATGATTTATGAGTTCAACTTTGTTACCCGACAACCCATCCATTGTTTAGCAAGGATTTATCAGTTTGCTCAATGATCTTGATTTTGGCTGTTTTTTGAGTAATTTGCGTATCTGTTTCAATTGAAATCCACCCATCATGTTAGCTATGAAGTATCAGTTTGCTCAATGAATTTGATTTTGTCATTGTTTTGAGAATTTGGCTATTGTGTTTGTGTGTTGCATCAACTGATCATTACACCTATTGGACCTTGAACTAGTCGGTTCTCATTCTGATTGAATGTGATATTGATTCTGGGCAGAGAGCACTCCCTCTACGAATAATATCAGTAGGGAAAAAGAGATCACAAGGTGTACAACTCATAGTGGATGAGTACATTGAAAAGCTTAAGCTCTACTGTAGTGTTGAGGATGCTCACATACGGAACAATCCTAAAAATGCACGGTACTCTCATCTTTTTTCATCTAAATCATCACAATCTTTGTAGTTAATGTGAATAGATATATATCTTTATCTTGGATATGCATAGACCTCTTTCCTGCAAACTGGATATTAATAATGTGTGAAAGTTCACCCAAAAATTAAAAAAAACAATTGGGAGAAAATTATTGACATTGGACACATGCAGGAAATATTCATATTGTGGTTTCATCTGATCATTTATTTTTGTAGAGCTTATATTAGTTGTCTTGTATTGTAGTGATTGGAGAGCTCAGGTTGATCATGAAGACAGTGCTGTTATGGATCTTATCAGGTCTGACGATTGGGTACAGTCTGAGCATCATATGGACTCAATCTTAATTGGATGAATAACTTCTCACAATAGTAGGAGAATTAGTCTTCCCTTTACATAAGTTTTTTTTGCTCTGGATACCTTTTCTTTGTATTGTCCTGCTATTACCCTTGATCTGCTCATGTACCAAGCCTGAACCGATCAAACTCAAGCTCTACTACCCTTTCGGCACATGTTTTTAAATGCTTACCTCGTCAAGCTTGATTTTTCTTACATATAGGATTTGCATGAAAAAAAGAAGAAGTTCCGATTATTATGGATTTAACAATTATTATCATGCTGAAGGCTAAATTTCTTTTGTTCTAAATCCATTGTAGAAATGTCTTCCTTTCTCAGATGCTCTGGAAAGGGAAAGTGGTGCCATTCCATTTTGGTGGAATTCATCAAAGCTGTTATAAACTATATGCTAAAAGGATTATACTTGTTTCTACATTGTCACTTTGTAATCTTGTGCTCGTAGGTTGTGCTGTTGGATGAGCGTGGGAGAGACATAGGGTCCGAGCAGATGGCTGAGTTGGTGGGGGATGCTGGAAATACAGTATGAATGACCTCTCGTTTTCGTGATTTTCAAGAATGATAGTGTGCATGCTTGAAATTCATCCATTCTTAATATATGTTGTTTGTATGTATGTTGAGCTGGCAGAGGAAAGTTTAGCACGAAAATTCAAGAACTTTTTACCAATAACACTATTGTTCCTTTGTCTATAGGGAGCTTCAAGACTATCATTCTGCATTGGTGGACCGTATGGTCATGGAAAACGATTGCGAGAGCGTGCTGATGTTTCTGTCAAGCTGTCTTCTATGGTATTAAACCATCAAATTGCAATAGTTGTGCTCGTAGAACAACTCTATAGGTAAGAGTACGTTGATCTGCTGACTTCTATATCATGCGGTTCCCAATTACGGAAATGCTGACTTCTGAAAAGTATTCAAGGAAATCATTTCTAGCTTAAAGCAAATATTAAGGATAAATTATATTAAATAAGTTAAGGAATGCTTGAATTTTAAATAAGATAATGTCAGATCACTCTGAACGAGTAGATAATCCATGTTTATCAATTTACTTCAGGTCGTGGACTATTCTGAAAGGACAGAACTATCATCGTTAGCCTTTCGTTTCCCGTTCTGAACAATGCTAACAGGTATTCCCTTTCTTCATTCCAGATGATTACTCTTTGTCTGCCTTTCTTGAGTTAACTTTGAGTGACTTGGTTCAACCGATATAGGGCAGGCATCGGCAACATATACATCAGAGTAAGAGTAACACACTGGATTGACAGGGTTGCTGGTGGCTTAAACGTGTATTTGGGTTTGTGGAACTAAATTGTTCTATAGTTCTGAAATTCATACACTCTTTTTCTTACTCTCAGTAATGTAGTGGATTAAACCTCAATGAGAAAGAAATTACAGGTATTAAAGGAGTTTCATGATAGATCGTTTCTGTGAACCTTTAGCCTCACATGGCAAAGTTTTGAATTTTAATCCAACACATAACTATTGATCATTCATGTTCAAATTATAGGAAATAGAGTGTATTATACGAATCTTGATACCTTGATTTATTATTAGTTTTTTTGTTAGATATGCTTTAATTTTTATCAAAATCGTTTACAATTTTTGTAAAATTTAATATTTATTTGTCAATTTATTTATTTTACAATGGTAAAATTTGGATAATAAAAGGGTGAAAATAGCAGGTCTTTGTTCAATTCTATTTATTTAACAACAAAAAAAAAAGGTTCGACACAATAAAGATGAAATTACCGCCAATAATAACAGACCTAACGGTAGGTTTGAAGGCAAATCAGTGTCCTTCCCTCCACTGGCTTACAAACCGCCACGTTACAAATTCAAACTCTCTGCCACGTGTCAGTAACCCAACAGCCTAAAACTCTCTCTCTCTCTTTCCCTCGATCTCACAACATGGCATGGCTGTTCTTCACTCCTCACTCGCTCCCTACTTTCTGAAAAAGCTCATCATCCTCCCATTCCCATATCCAAAACCCACACTTTCAACCAAAAGACTCGATCTTTTCCAAGCAATGAGTTCCAGCTCCAAATCCCAACCCTCTGCCCCGGTCTACAAGGTTCCGGGTTTGGACCCGGAGGAAATGGACCGGGTTGCGGACCAAACCTTTCAGAGGTACTCGTCCTCCTCTGTCAAGAGAAACGGCAAAGGTGTGGCTGTCGTTTGGTTCAGAAACGACCTCAGAGTGCTGGACAATGAAGCTCTTTACAAGGCTTGGGTTTCGTCCCAGGAGCTTTTGGCTGTGTATTGCGTTGATCCCAGGCTTTTTGGCTCTACCCATTACTTTGGTTTTCCCAAAACTGGAGGTACCAATTTTATTTTATTAAAAGAATTTCAAATTTTTGATCTTCCTAGTTGATGTTTTTGGACTTTTGGCTTGTTTTCTATTACCTTGGGCTTTGAAATGTTTGGAATTTTGTTCTCAATTTGGCTTGTGCTACTGTGTTTAAAATCTCCTTGTAACATAGAATGATGCAGAATTGAAATGTCATACAAATTTGTTGTTTGCAGCGTCGAGAGCGCAATTTCTCATTGAGTGCTTGGCTGACTTGAAGAAAAATTTAATGAAGCGGGGTCTTAACCTGCTCATTCAACATGGGAAGCCTGAGGAGATTCTCCCTTCTCTTGCAAAGGTTTTCGGAGCCCACACAGTTAAGTGATTTCCACACTATTTGATTTGTAGAATGAGTTTGTTATGTTCTTTTCAACTTATTAAAGCAGCAGAATGTTTGTATGTAATCTAATCTACTTAGGTATATGCCCAAAAAGAAACTTGTAGTGAGGAGCTAAATGTCGAAAGATTGGTCAGAAAAGGTCTGCAACGAGTGGTTTTACCATCGTCTTCAGCGCAATCCTCTGGGCCTAGTTCTACAAACAATCCTAATCTACAACTTTTATGGGGTACCACTATGTACCACATAGATGACCTCTCATTCGACACCCTCAGCTTACCGGATGTGTATACGCAGTTTCGTAAGGCATGTAGATTTCTTTCAAGTTCATTTTACTTCAAATCTATATAACTGGGGGAGGTTTTCTCTGTTAGCTGTGTTTATCGATGATACCGAAAACTTGCAGTCAATTGAAGCGAAGTGCATAGTTCGTAGCTGCATCAAACTTCCAGCATCTCTTGGGCCCACACCCAGCATTGGGGACTGGGGATGTGTTCCTTCATTAGATCAGTTTGGACTTCAATCTCCAAATGTAGGTTATTATAACATACATACGAATATGCAGGCACATATTTCATACTATGTCTATTAAGAAATTTGAGAAGTTCCTTTTACATACTCTGGATGCAGGTAAGTAAAGGAATGAAGTTTGTAGGGGGTGAAAGTGCAGCATTGGGCAGAGTAAACGAGTATTTCTGGAAGAAGGCAAGAGAAATCTTTAAGTTATATATGTATATATATATTTATATAAATATTGATGTTGAAAATGTCCAATAGAGGAAAATGGCTTTTTATTTGAACACATTTTATAATATTCAAAGGAACAGTGTTAATAGAGTAATTTAGTTATCTGACTTATTCTCATGTGTTTCATGTGTAGGATTTGTTAAAGATATATAAACACACCAGAAATGGGATGTTAGGACCTGATTATTCGACAAAATTTTCTCCATGGCTTGCTTCAGGAAGCCTTTCTCCTCGTTTCATTGATGAAGAGGTTGAAATTCTTGGTTATTATGTTCCTTTCTATATATGACTACATGACATTGAGAAAATTGACACTAATTTTGGCAATTGATTCCTTAAGGTAAAGAGGTATGAAAAAGAAAGGCAAGCAAATGATTCAACATACTGGTAATTCTCTCTCTCTCTCTCAGTTGCATGAACTAGAATGAAACTTTTGGAGGACAAAATGCTGTCAGTATGTAATTTCTTTGTTGGACCAAAGGTGATATAGATCCCCCAGTTAACACAACATAAACCATTCTTCAAGCAGTGTTGAACTTGTATTTTGTCCTTTCCCTTTTTTTAATCTATGTTCAACACAACAGGGTCTTGTTTGAATTGATATGGAGGGATTACTTCAGGTTTCTATCAGCAAAATATGGGAATTCCCTTTTCCATTTAGGTAAAGATAGATTTTAATTGATTGCTTTAATATTCAATCATGTCAAAGTATTTAAAAAAAGGCCTAAGAAAAGAAGTAAAATTATGTTAACTGAACAGTTTGTTGCTGCGCAGCACATGTGAGCCACTTATTTTAACATATCATTGTAGAGATTTCAATTCTCGCTACTTCTCTTTCTTAGCAGTCATGTCTTTTTTTGGCCTTTTTGAAGGTGGCCCAAGAAATGTGGAGCATAGATGGAGCCAAGACAAGATTTTATTTGAATCCTGGAGAGATGGTCGTACAGGGTACATTGCTTTGCCCAAGAGCTAGATGATGAATATTAGATCTCCATAATCTTTATGAAAAACAGAATGGAAAATTCTCTCTCTCTCTCTCTCTCTCTCTCTCTCTCTCTCTCTTAGTGTTTTGTAATTGCTCTGCTAATGATATACAGAGCTTGTTAAACCTCTAGGTACCCTCTAATAGACGCCAACATGAAAGAACTATCAACCACGGGGTTCATGTCGAATCGGGGAAGGCAGGTAATTCCAAAGTAAACTGTCACTATGAATGGTGTATAGTATTTTTATGCATTGCTACCATAAAACTTCTTGTTTAAACCTTTAATGTTATTATTCTGGGAAAATTGGGCGTAGTCTTGAAAATAATCAATACTTCATCTATTATTCTACAGATTGTATGTTCCTTTCTAGTTCGTGATATGGGTATTGACTGGCGAATGGGAGCTGAATGGTTTGAGACATGCCTTATGGATTATGACCCTTGTTCCAATTATGGGAATTGGACCTATGGAGCAGGTGGTTTCAAATTCATCATTTTATTTACTTCCATGCATGCATGTTTCTGTTAAAAGTATTAGCATGCCTCTCTCTTAACTTTCTTGTATTGGATATACACTCCTGGCAGAGGATGATCATAAAATTATAAAGAACCAAGGTCTCCTTTATAATTGTAGCCACATACTTTAGGATTGTAATTACTTAACTATTTTGGTTTAATACTGATCAACATTTAATCATTTGTTCATCCTGTTAAGGAGTTGGAAATGACCCCAGAGAAGATCGTTACTTCAGTATTCCGAAACAAGTGAGTACACAATATGTTGCCTCGTTATATTTTCTTAATATGAGACCCGATTTCGAATGACAAAGTGCAGAGTTTTTCACAAATTTTTTGATGAATTATGTTTGGAGCTACAACAGCTTTATAAACACTTTCTGTACCTAAGATGCTGTTATATTTTTTCAGGCGCGGACATATGATCCTGAAGGCGAGTATGTCGCGTATTGGCTGCCTCAACTAGAATCACTTACAAAAGAAGAAAGAAACTTTCCTGGAAGGGCATATATGAAGCAGGTTGTGCCTCTCAAGTTTGGAAATACCAGTAGGCACCATAACCAGGACAAGGCCTTGGCTGCTAGAGGCACCAATTTTGGAGGAAGACAAACAAAAGGGCAAAGGAGATAAATCTGGGTTGAAACTTGAAAGGATTTTACCATACATCTTTATCCTTCTCAAAGTATGTTTTGAAAATGAGATGCAAATATTTTGTTACTATTAACATTCAAATGTGTATGCCCCCACTTTTCATTTGCCACCGTTGTTTGTTTAACTTGACTTCGTTCAGACCTAATTCGAAACTTTCATTGACCTAATTAGGAATTTAAACTTGTTTGAGTGGCCGGAAGAAAACATGATTAGTCGGAATCATAGATTGAGAAATTAACTTGATCACATCTGGGTTAAGTTCATGTAATCTGTGTTCAAGTTAGAGTGGTTCAAATTCGTAGTTCGATTTTTGAACTAGGTTTAATGATCCGATGTAAATTGTAATCGTTGTTAATAATATGAATCTATAGCCTAACCCAACTTTATAAAGTTGTAATTCTATGCTTAGTAAAGAACACAATTATATATGATTTCGATGTAAGGGCTTATAACTATTTGATAAAAAGAAAAAAAAAACTTACTATAGCGGGTGGAATATTAAAATAGCTTAATATTACATTTATCCAAAAAGAAAAAAGAGATAATAAGAAGCTGGATTTGGGCCCGACTTCTGGGGCTGAACCCGATTTGACCCAAATTACCCTCCGACCCGCCCCTACCTGTGCATTCGGGTTCTTCAATCTTCAACAGCACATGAACCATTTGGATCTTCCAAAAACTCGCGCCGTCCGGGGCTAACCTCGCTCAGGAGAAAACTAATCCGTACAAAAACCGGTCACAAACTCTTAGTTACGAAGTCAAGGAAGAAGAAGAAGAAGAAGAAGAAGAAGAAGATAGAAGAAAGGAGCTTCTTCTTCTTTTTCAAAAACCTTCAATTTCTTCACAGAAAGCTCCAATGGCAGTGAGTTCAATCCCATAAATCGTCATTTCACATTTGTTTATATCGTCGATTGTTCA